CTGTTCTCATATCTGATGGGAATTAACAGACAGAGAAAAGGAACCTGCTGCTCTGGGCCTTTGAAACGTGCTGAAGCCATGCTGGACAGTAAAGTCAGGAGGCCCTCTTTAGGGAGGATTACCTAGTCCTGGCTTAACAAGCCTTGTCTCCCATTTCAGAGGGCAGGATGGCACACGGTATACTCTGCTAAAGCTGACCTCTGTGTCGAGGGGGCTGGTTATGCGAGGAAGTGGTGGGCCATAATCTAGGGAGGCCCACAGGGCTGCACAAGCACTCAAGAGCGCGAAGCAGTCCATCAAACTGAGCCAATCTGTCGGCATCATGAAACAGCACCCAATAGTTACTTATGTGATTTTTTTATTGTACGTGTACTTGCTGGGAAAGTTGCTTATAAGTCTATAAGCATCGACCTAACTCATTTAAAAGGTCACCCTTTGGACCTGTTCTTTCTGACTGGGGAGGAGGATGGCGATCTGAAAATTGGGGGATTAACATCTATCCCTCAGATCAGATCACTTCCATCACTGACATCAGATCACTTCCTCTTGAGGTTTTGTGTATTGGACCCCCATTCCCTCTGCTGGGGTGGGGGACCCATTACAACGGTCTGCCCGCAGAGGCTGATGGATCCTGATGGATTCTGGATGGCTCTGGAGGACCTTCCAACTGGCATGGTAGGTGCTCCTCTCAAAGCTCAGGTTGCTCCATGGACTGCAGAGATGACCTGGATGGTTGAGATGATTGCCCCAAGTGCCCTCTTCTCCCCCATAGGACCTGACCAGCTCCTTGGTCTACACCGGAGCTGAGGGCGATGGAGCAAGAGGGAAGACAGCTAGAGCTCAGGTGGAGGAGAACTCAAAACAAATCTGATGGAACACAGCTTGGTGCTCACTACTGAGCCTATTCCGTGGCAGTGGAGATGGTGAGGAGGTGCTTTACTGCCACCATCATGTCCTCATCATGCTGTCCAGGGAAGCTTTTTCAGGTGGTTCAGGGCCTTTTACATCCTGGCCCCAAAGGTGCCCTGATCAAACCTTTGGAAGCCTACTGTGGCAATTTTGTATTATTATTATTATTATTATTATTATTATTATTATTATTATTAT